CAATAAATCTTGGAACCAATACCTCAGATGTGACAGTTCTATTACCTAGGTGCCGCAGTAACTGCAATGAAGCTTAGATCTCCACCTCTCGTTGTTTATATTCCACGCCTCTCTGAGCCGCTGTTTAAATACTTTGTCTTTGCGAAGGAATATGAAGAGTAACCTCAACTAAAAATGAAGATTGGGAAAGATTATTTTCCTCTGCAAATTTTTACTTACTGCGATGACTAGAAACACACAGCTTTGACGCACAACTATGAGGAATATTTGTCATCGTTTGCGAAGAAAATATTTGCTTATATTTCTTTACTTAATTGTTCTGTATTGTATCAAGGAATTCATTTTTACCTTTGCTTTTAATCCAATTACTCGATGGTTTCCAAATGAATCTAAAAGTGAAACAGTTTTACAGAGCACACGCCCGCACATACCACAGAGGAACGCCACAAGGAGGGAGCTAATACTTCTTCAAATGGTAATCTATTTCATTTTCTGTATTTTGACGAAAATTTTGATATTTCAGCTCCATATTTTATAATTTGCTATATACCATAGAAACAGATAAAAAATATCGATTTTATGCTATATATTTATCTGTTGAACCATAAATTAACTTTATTTAATGGCTTTATTTGCAGTTCTGTTACTTCAGCATTTTCATTTCTATTATTAAAATCCCTGGTAATATATAAATACAATAAAATCCATAGACCGTAGTGTAAAACGTAATTCTCAAAATGTAAACAAAATTTAAACACTTTCTTTACAGCGTACATTATAATTAGAATATGTTAAGAGCATATATTAATAGAATTATATTAGAGATTTTTTTTCTGTAAGCTATTTTTAATAGCCACTTTTTTGTGATTTGAGCAAAATATAAATAATTTTCAATTTTAATTTCGAATAAGTAAAACTAAAAAAACATTTTTTTTAAATGTTGCAAAACAGTTTGAATTAAAAGTTAAGAGAAGCGGTGAAAATATCTTCATCTACTGAGCGCATAAAAAGTTCTGGAATATATTAATGGCTTCCAGTTTATAATAAAGAGCATATAAACAGTTGTGCATATTTTAACATATGCACAAATATTATATATCCAGTAAATATTTTCGTTTACATTTCAGTGTTTGTTATCATAAGAAACAAGATTTTTTTTTTTTTTTTTTTTTTTTTTTTTAAAGTTGTAAAGTTAAAGTAAAATCTAAAGAACTTTCAGTACTAATAAGCGCAATATATAACAAGTTGATTTCTTTATATATAGGCATAGTTGATTTCTTTATAAGGCATCAGTTATCAATTATAGTACAATGTTTTTTCCTATTAGTATTCGATATTGAATATTTTGTTCAATATATATACATAACTTATTAGAAAACATTTTCATATACCATCTCCAAGGAACTGAAATTCAATTTTAACCATTAATTATTATAAGAAAAAAAATTAGTATTTTACGCAGTATTTTAAATTAGTAGACCTCTATTGTAGTAAAAACCATAAAAATCTGTAAAGAAAAATCATGAATCGCAAATCACCAAAATCAAAGGTAAAAATTTTAAATTTTAAAGTTATTATCATTAACCGCAGATTAATTGACTTGTCAAGGGGAACAAACCAATCTAGTATCAATTAACAGCAACTAAATTGAGAGTGTTTCGTTTCTTTTCCAAATAAGGACCAAATTATTATTCTTGCAGAGCCAGATCATAAGTCACGAACAATACTCAATCAATAGCAAGACATTAGTCCATTTAAGCCAAAAGAACCTCTTCATAAACAAAATCAAATTAGTAAGACCATCTTTAAAATTTAATTTGCTCATCAAGAATACAACTAAACGAGATCCTTATTTTAGAAGGAATATTCCCCGACACTCTTATAACTCAGTTCAAAAGTAAAAACAAGAGTTACACATTTTTTAATATTAAAAAGTTAAATTCAAAAATGGAAAGAAAATCAAAATTTACATAATCTTTTAAATTAAAGTAGTTAATTAGATATTTAAAGATAAAACTTAGGAAATTAAAATTAACTTACTTGCCTGCAAAAATTTTAAAACGAAATGGCTGGAAACGTAATTGCATATACATAATTTTGTGTATATATATATACAATAGAAGAGATATGTAATAGAAATGTAGATATATATATGTATAATAGAAATATATAGACAGGGTACCCACTAACGTCCGTTACCACCCGTTTAACTGCCCAACGGCTGCAACTATATTCATAAAATTGGTGTCTAGGTATAGTAAAGTGCCTATGCCCTACTTGATGAGATAGCTTACAGCAACACCTGGTCGAAAACGGCGGAGATCTTACAGCACCACCTGGTAGAAAACGGTGAAGTTAGCCTCCCTATCTCGAAAACGATACGAGATAGGAAGAAAAAGTACATTACAAAGTTCTAGAGCATCGTCGATTTAGTACGAATACACACCTTGTGGATATAGTGCTAAAAACAGAACGCTGAAAATGCACATTTCTTTATTCGTGATTTCTGAAACTGTGACGTCACGAAACTTGAACGAAAGGAGAAAAGCTTATGTTTCGGATGAAAAACATGCCCGAATCGCTTTGCAGTTATGTCACTTGTAATTCAAAGTCGAGAGGACTGTGATTCAAACCCCGTGGAGTTCATCCTTGTACTGATCGTCTTTACAAACAGAGTAGAAAACATACCAATCGTGCACATTCATGTCGCAAAACGCACCAACTCAACTCAACTTGAGCATGGTGTGCGAATTTGTGCATTATGCAAATAGTGTATGAAACGTCACACCCGTTCACCTGAGACATCTATAAAAGAGATATTTCCTTGTGGTTGTATGTTGAAGCTCATGGTCATGGAGCGATTTTGAAAAAAAAAAAAAAAAAAATCATTGTTGTAAGATGTTTCTACTTACGGTGAATGGGAGCGCAAGGCACGATTGTCAGCGTAGTTGCATCGGCAACGTTTTCTTGCAGGCCCGCACCCTTTATGCAAAACCATTCTATAGGTTGTGAAACGTTTAAGGGAGTTAGGCTGCGTGACTGGTCGACTTCGATCCGGCAGACCAGCAGGGTGGAAAGTGCAACTGGAAGATGTCTCATCATACGGCCTCGCGTATCCAAACAGCAGCACAAGAGATATAAGTGAAGACTGTGGCCTCTCAAAATATCACTTTTAGAAATCCTAAATAAATTAGGTGCTCATCCATGTCGACCAAAGCCTAATTAGGCATTACTGGACGGGGATGCCGACAGACCTTTTGCATGGTGCAACTTCTTCATGAACCAGATAGAGGTCCAGACAACATGCTTGGCAGGTATAGTGTGGACGGATGAGGCATGCTTTTCGTGGAATGAAATGTACAATTGGCAGAACACCCATGGCACAGGAAAATCCATCATGTTCTGCCGACGTTTGATATCAAATACGGTTTTCTATTAATGTTTGGTGTGGAATCTATAATAACAGGCTAATCGGCTCAGTATTACCAGGGTATTTTAACGGCCGCACAATACTTAGAACTTCTGCAAGACATAATACCTGATTTTGTTGAGAACGTGATTTTATTTAACTCCTAAATGGATGGTTCCAACATGATGTCGTAAGTGAAGTAGTACCTGATGGAGGAATTCAGAGAACGAATAATCGGGTACGGTGGTTTCGAAGATTGGCCTCCACATTCACCTGACCTGACTCCAATGGACCTTTTTCTGTGCGGATACCTCAAATAGCAGATGTATGCCACAAATCATAAACATTGCAGGACCTTCAACGACGAATTACGGATGCTTGTGCAAACGTGTCACCCGCTATAGAAAAATTACACATACTCATAAAATGAGAGCCTCCAACATTATTTTACATGACGAGGGTAAACGGAACATCTGTACAGAGGTAATTACAGGCCTCTGTTTAGGAACCAATACTCCCTCAACAAACTGTATACTTAACACACAATCACCCATAAACTTTGACATGCATTTACCATGATTTCATATTACGTATCTGTACTAATTTCACTTATTTTTTACATCTACTTCAACTTTAGAATAATTATAAAATTCGTATTCAAAATTTTCAACAAAATTGCAAAAGTATAAAAACTTATCTTAATAGCCTTCCCTAAAAATAATTAAAAATCTAAGAATTCTTTACTTGCTTTACTAAATTATTAGAATTCAAATTTCTAATATTATTAAATTATATTTCTTTATATCACAGTGTTCATTTTTAATGTCCAATTTATAAAGGGAAAAAATATCTGTTCCCAATGTAGATTCAGTTACGTAAAAGCAGAGGCGAAAATAATTTTCTGGCACCTACTTTAAGTGTACATTTAATCCGATCAAGATATGCAGTTCGATGACCTTGAAAGCACTGGAATGATTTGAAACGTTAGCACTCGGAAAACATTCGTCATTTTACTGTAAACAAACGCTGAATTAATTTTGAAAGGGTGGCACTAGATTCATTTTTAAGCACTCGCAGCAAATCTGTGATTCGATTTTTTTCACATTTTTTATTGCTGTTGGATTCTGTTGCACTTATTAAATCACCGCATGTGCTGGATTAAATTTCGAAGCATTTATTTTGACTTTAAATACACTTGTTTTGGAACGATTCGGGGTGTGGTTGACTTGCTGATACCAGGTTGCGCACACAGATTGACGGAGCCGTACATATATTGAAGATTAGAACATGCAGGCATTAATTAACTAATTCGCTTTCACAGTCTTAGCCACAATTTGGATGATAACACTTCTGTGAAGAACAAGCACACTTTGATTATTTAAAACAAGTTTTTTTTTCTTCTAAACATTTAAGAGATGGCTGTACATTTCGTTTTCACTGACGTTAGCACTTTTGGACTTGCAGGTACTCGGTCATTATGAATTTCCGTTACGCATGGAAGTTTGAAGAGATGGTTGGTTATTGCAGACATTTCCACTGGAATTCCAAGGCAGATGGCGTAGAAATGTTGATCCATAATGACTAGGAAATTGGAGGCGAAGGCAGATTAAATCTTCAATTTTGTTTTCAGCAACATGTTGCAGCTACACACAAGTCGGCACATTAAATGTGCCTGTTCGAAAAGACTTACATTTTTGATAAATTTGCAGCAAAAAAAAAAAAAAAAAAAGAAGAAGAAGAAGAAGACAGACTATAGTCGACCTAAGGCAAAGTGTAGGAAACAAGTGCGTAACGTTCAGGATGAAATCTGAAGTCAAACTGAGTTAGTTTTGGTTCTCAAAGCATTTTGATTGGATAGTTAATATTGCTGTAAAATTATTATTGGTTGTGCTTGAGTTTTTCAATTCCACACCCAGAATACGTAAGAGTATATAGGATATTTTTTCTCGAACTGACGCGCAGTGCAAATAGCGTGCTATTTTTAGAATACTGAAGGGAATTAATTACGCTGTTAATTTATCTTTTACATATTCCTTATTTTTCTTGCCATATATATATATATATAT